AGCATGTAATACCTCGAACGGCTCGGAATTTCGTTGAAATCAAGCCAAAATAAGGCAAATTGCCAGCAAAAAACCGAGGCAGAGCTTTGAGCCGGCCAAAAGGAAATTGATCGATTCTTGAACAAGAGACCACGTAGCGGAACTCTATGGCTCTCCGGGAAGACGAATGGAGGCTTGAGGTTAGGCTGGGGAAACCGGAGATAAAGAGCGGAGGAAACGAAAGACCCAGAAACAAGGGTTTCGTTGGATCCTGCTATCGTGCACCCAAAGTGTAATGCGCACTCCCTTCTGGTTCGGATGGGTCGGTTCGGTCGACTAAAAAAGGGAAAGCACATAATGGTGCTCTTTATTTTTTGGTAAATTAAATGATGTGTTATACTTAGAAGATGGTTATAATGTTTTTGGTTAACAAAGTTAAGCTTCATTATCTTTATGTTATTTTCGAGAAAGGTGGTTTTTTTTAGTATAGATTATATTTTTTATATAATTTGAGTATTAGTATTATCAAAACAATATTAATGAATAAATATGAAAAATAATTTTATTAAGAGTATTTTGAAAATTTTAGTATTTAAATTGCTCAAAAAATGAAACACATTTTCAATTTTTTTATGCATATCTAACCAGAGTTTAAAACGTGATTAGTTTAAAAAAATTAAATAAAAAATTTTTTGTTCAATCAAATTAAAATTCTAACCTAACTTTTTAACTTTATAAGGCAAAAAAATTTTTCCTCCATTTTCTTATGCTTTATTTTCTTCCATTCAAACATTCTTAAGTTGTGTAAGGAGATGTCTTTTTTAAAAAAAATTATTTTGAGGATGCTTAATTATTAGATGGTATATTTAACTAATAAAAAATTTACCTCAAAATTTTATAATTTGAGACTTAGTCTCCCTATTTAAAGATTAATGTTATGCAATTTGTACTTAATAGCCCTAGCTGCACTAGTACTTGGACCTGATTTCCCCTGTTAAGTATTTTAAGTTATTACAGGAAAAGCAGACCTTGACGACCACTTTACTCTCAATTACTTGGTTTTCCGCTTTTTCTCCTTTTTCTTCTTTCTTTTGAAAAGTTCACTTTTGGGATCTAATACTATGAACACTGTTCATTACTCATTGCTAAAGCGCAGTTCAAGCAATAAAAAAAACCAATCTCAAGAACCAGTGAAAGAAGATAAAAAGAGCCACTTCATTTGAAAATTAGACCGTGGATGAACACATGAAAGTCCCCCCCGCCCCCCATTTTTTTTTCCCTTCAACACATGAGAAACTATTTAACAGCTAAATAACCAAGAAAATTACAACATATTTCATCTATTATAACTAATTCTTATTTCAGTCAACCATATATATCACATCATCTAGAGGAAATTGTTCTTATCTTCTCATCCTTTCCCACCAACCCAGATTAGAAGTTTGGACCAGCTGCAAGAATCTCCTCAGTCAGCTTGTTGTCCTCACCGATCTTGTAGTTTGTGAAGGTCTCAAAGTTGTTCTTGAAAAGTTCAGCCAATTTCAGTAGGGTATCCTTGTAAGCCTTCTTGTCTTTCCACTGCAACACAATTTCCAATTACTTCAGAATTTTGAGAAAGCTAAGAAGAAATGGTATAAATGAGGAAATGGGAAACCTACAGTGTTCTGCGGCTCCAGGATTTCTGAAGGCACTCCCTCAATCCCAGTGGGGATCTCAAGGCCAAACACCACAGTCTTCTTGTATTTTGCCTTCAAGAGACTACCAGAGTGTATGGCATCAATGATTTTCCGAGTATAGGCTAGCTTGATACGGCTTCCACAACCATACCTACAGAAAAACAAAAAAATATAATTGATTCAACTTTTCACAAAAAAAAAAAGAAAAAATTGTTCCATGCAATACTAATACGTTGTCATCGATGACACATACCTTCCGCCTGACCAGCCAGTGTTGACGAGCCACCCTGTTGCACCATGCTTCTGCATTTTCTCAGCCAGCATGGCTGCATACTTTGTGGGGTGCATCATTATAAATGCTGCACCAAAGCAAGCTGAGAATGTTGCCTGTGGCTCCTTAATTCCATCCTCTGTCCCAGCAACCTATATAACAGTCATCAGGAAACAAATGACCCCAATCCTTAGATGATCAATCAAGTTCTTTTGGACCAAAAAAACACAAAATCAAATCTAGAACAGTTTAAAAAAGGGGGGGGGGGGGGGGCGGAGGATCAAACTTACAACAATTATTTAGCAGGATTCAAGCTTACCAGAGCAGTGTAGCCACTGATAAAATGGTACATGGTTTGAGCCAAACTCAACTTGCTCACTGGTGGAAGGACACCAAATGCGTCACATGCCAAAAGAATGACATTCTTTGGATGTGGAGCAACACATGGTAGCTTCACATTAGGGATGAATTCAATGGGGTAGGCTGCACGAGTGTTCTCTGCAAAAGAGGAAAAAGGACAAAATCAGCCATCATATGAATTCTATGCTTCATAATTTAGGATCAGGTATACAAACCATTTCCCCTAATCATGCTGTTATATTCATGAAATCAAGTTCATGTAAACACATTTTTCTTTGACCATTGCATTATTTGACATCATGAAGTCCGCATAGAAAATTTATTTTCATGTTCCTCTTATCTTCTTTTCCTTTTCTGATGCTCTACGTTGCATTTCTATTCCTTTATGTTTCTGATCCTTATCAACTAAATGGAGAATGGAAGGCATAAATGAGAGTCCAGAGCAATGTTCTTGATTATAAACAACCCACTCGGCGTAGTATATAGATTGACTTGGCAATATTGACCCAATTGCTTACATATTACCATAAGAAAAAAGTGACCAATATCTAAATTTACTCCTCATGATTCACCTTATTTGCTGACCAATTAATAGAGTGATGATGATGCATGTGTCAATAATTCCAGATCATAAACCATGTACCTGTAACAGATTTTTCAGAATAGTCCACCTCACGGGTATGCTCATCAAACACCACATTTTCCAGTACTGCAGGCCAGAAGTTAAATAGAGTCAGCGCATAATATTTATAATGTGCCAAAACTAAAGCAAGTACTACAACTTTTCCATCATCCTGACGTCTCTTATTTTGATTTCAGTCAGTTGATTAAAGGACAGAGATGCTAGACCATTTACCAGTGCCAAACTTAATGGCATTCCAAATGTCAGGCTCCTTTTCTTTTGAGAGATCAATGCACTTGGCATAGCAACCGCCTTCAATATTTGACACACCATCGTCACTCCAGCAGTGTTCATCATCCCCAATGAGAAACCTATTGTGATCAGTAGACAGAGTAGTCTTGCCAGTACCTAAAACACATTTATTGAACTCATGAATAAACAAATCAAACACGGAAGAATAAGGACACATAGCATTCTCAAAACAAATTATAGCAGGCATCAAGGATATAAGTAAGAGGGGCACATATCGTTCTTGGCTCCGCATTGTCACATTGTCCAATGATACTATACCTGACAGTCCAAAGAAGAGGGCAACATCTCCATCTTTCCCCATATTGCAGCCAGAATGTAAGGAGAGGATTTGACGCTTAGGCATGAGATAATGCATAACACTGAAAAGACCCTTCTTCATTTCCCCGGCGTACTGGGTGCCGAGGATGACCATTTCTCTCCTAGCAAGATTAAGATCTATGCTAGTGGAGGATGTCATGTGGTGGGTGTAACGATTACACGGGAACTGTCCAGCATTGTATATAGTGAAGTCCGGAGTACCAAAATTCTCCAGCTCTTCAGGAGTGGGTCGGATACACCTGCCACCCACCCAGTTATCCAATTGTACATACTAATTTTTACTAATTGTTTAACCTCTTTCCTCGATGGAATTCTATAGGATTTATGAATCTCAACATAGTATACAAATTATAATTAACATCATGACAACGATGAGAAGACTTATCTGGGAAGGGCTTAGACCTGTGAAAAGCATAACAACAGAAAAGAAGCTATGAAACCTTAAAAATTTCAAGGTTTTACTTACATATTGTGCATGAACAAGGAATGGTAAGCTCTAGCGGATACAATCCTGACTTTGATTTTGTTCTGTGGATCCCAGTTCAAGAATTGGTCATTCACAAAAACCTGAAAAATCATTCAAGTCGTATCACCCTCCCATAGTCAATATCTCTTTCATTTAGATTTCAGACCCATAAACAGCTTCAAATCAATCTTATTGAATAGTTCATAGTGATAACTCCATATTTACTCTTAGCTAATACGTAACTGGGTTGAAGACAAACTAGAAGTAATTCAGATGAGGACAAAATTGCTTCTCCCAAGGAACTAACTACTAAGGGCTGCCATCTCTGCAGCCTAATTGGAGAAAAAAATACCACAAAGATACCGTAGGACCACATCCCTGAAACCGTCACAATCTTCAGAACATACATCACGACATACACCACGATTGTGGTTACAGGTACTCTTAAATTTGTTAAAAAAATTTAATTCATTTGATATTTTTATGTAAATATTTATTTATAAAATAATTTTAAATTATTAAATAATTAATATAAATTATTTTATATAACTAATTTAAATAAAAAAATAAATCATTTATGTCGCTATATCCACAGCCACACATCACCATCTTCTGAAAAGTAAAACACTGCACAATGCTTGGAGACAACATCTTTTCCCTAAGTATTCCCTAATTTATATCATTTTTCCTTACACTGCAAAGATGACAGTACAAACTAAAAAAGATCGGAGAAGGCTTACCTTTTCCAGAGAATTCAAATAATCCACAGCTCTTTCTCTGTTCACCATGAAAGTGTGCTCGTCCATTTCAATGTTAGGTGAGCCCCTGTAATAACCAATCATGATTTTCACTCAAAAATTTGCATTTGTTAGCCACAAAATAAATTAAGTTTTTCTAATATGTTGTCTGAGGTTTTTTTTTTTTAATAAATAAATATAAAAAATATAAATATTAAAATTAATTTTAATAATATTATTAAATAAATACATTTAATTAAATAATTGATTAATTAAAAATAAATATATTTTTTTCAATAAAAATTTATAATAATATAAAAAGATGTTACAACAACCATACGCCGTACGTATAAAAAAAACCAAATAAATTAATCGAAAATTGAATAGAGAGCGCACTTACTTTCCCCACCACAGATCTTTCTCGGTGGTTTCATCCTTTACGACGCGCTTATCCCTCGGAGACCGGCCGGTCTTGGCGCCAGAGAGGGTGGCCAGAGCACCAGTGGATGTGATGAACGAGCCTTTCTCGTACTTAATAGCCTGCTCATACAACTCTGCAAATCGAAAAGAGACCAGATTTCAGCTCAAACGAGTTAATTAATTTCACAAAAAGGCACAGATCAAAGAGAGCCAACGACGGACTGTACCCGCCGGAGAAAGGTTGTAGAGGACATGGGTGAACTTCAGAGAACTGTCACTGACGCCGATGGTCGGCGCCTCCACGTGATGATGAGACACATGCGCAACCTTTTGGCCCTCGATCCTATTCGCCGGATCTCCCTTCACCACCTTCGGCCCCGTCTCTCGCGTCAGCGACGCTAAAGATGCACTGTTTCAAAAAAAAAAAAAAAAAAAAAAAAGCAAAGAATCATTACGTATGAAATGACAAAAATACCCTCACTTGATAAAATACTTTCATTGGATTACTTTCGTAACTGATAAGCCGATGAGCAAAAATCAAATCATCGGATTCCCCTGGACCAGGCAAAGGAATCCTTGAAAAAGCGTAAATACTTGACACGTGGACGCCGATCCCCCCTTAAACAAAACCTCGATCAGGAGATCTCAAGCCTCCATAGTCCCCATACCACTTTTCCACCGTCCGATCATCAGAGTGGGCTCCACTTCTCAATTTTTTCAATTTTTTTTTTCCATTTTTAGAGAATGGTATTTCACGTTGTACTTGCCTGATGGACTGGAGCTGCTGCTTTTGGCGTTCCTCTTCGGAGAGTGCGGTGAAGGAACCCTGAGCGCCGTTAATGGGAGTAGTCGGCGCGGATTTCTTCCTCTGCAATGAGTGGAGCTCGTCAATGGTCTGCGCCTTAACCGGCGGCGCGCTGTCGTCATGACAGATCCCATTCTGCTTCTTCTGCGTCTGTATCTTCAGCCCGCTGTTCCTCGACACCGCACCACTCATTGCTCCGTTACTGTTTGCCGCCATATCTCTCTACCCTGCAGACAATACCACACTACTCATCAAAATACTAAAAAACGGCGTTAGTTATTCAGGAATTCAACAAATTATCAATTTTTGGTCCAAAAATAGCCAGAGTTTATTACAGTTTTTTATACTGATCAAAGAGATTAAAATAGCCATTATTTTGAGGTTGAATTAAGAAAAATGGCAGCAGTACCAGAAACAGGCAAGTCGAACTGGAAACGATCAAGAAATGAGAAACATATGAGTAATCAAAGGTCTGAGAGGAAGAAAATGAGAAGGTGGTGAGAAATGAGAGCAGCAAGGAGTCCCTTTTAAAGGGTTCATAGGGGGCAGGTTTTAACCACAGTTATGAGTTAAACAACTAATCATGGTTAAATCCTATCCCTCGTCGGGTCAAGCCACTAAAAGAGAAAAAATCCAAGGATATCTCTTTAGACTGCCCTTTCGTGGTACAATCAATACATATTTTCACTCATTAAAAATAATAAAAATTAATATTAGTTTTGCAATTAATGTTATATATTATTTTAATATATTTATTTTTTTTTATATTAATTGTTATTAAAAAATAAAATTAATTTTAATTTTATTAATTATCTAATAAGAATAACACACAAGTTAAAATGTAAATAAAAGATCTGATTCTTAACTTCTAAATTTTTTACAAATTTTATATTTTAAAAAATATTGATTAAAAATAAAAATTTTAAAGCATTAACTGTAAAAAAAATAATATTTAACGTAGAATTAAAGAATTTGGCCAATTAATTTTTATACTTTAATATAAATTAATAAAAAATTACAATTAATACACTTTTAACCTACATCTTAGAGCATAGATTACACAAATCCTTTTTTTTTCTTTTTTCTTTTTTTAAGAGCAAAGGAAAGGTTAAGCTGAGCTCCATTTTATTGAACTTTGTCCTGCCAACAGGATAGACGGAATGATTTCTGTATGTCATTGAAGAAAGTACTTAAAAACATTCAGCAAAACAGAAAAAAGAGAAGCACCGAAAAACAAATGTAGAAAGGCGGAACTTCAGGCTTCAGCTCCCAATCTCCTGCCAATAATTAATTGTTTTAGAAATGCCCTTCCCTTTCCATAAACTGCTACGCGTGCTTTCTTTTGCCA